CAGAAACCTCTTTACATCCTTTCTATATCATTTAAATATTTTACTAGGCACGTAGTAAAGCAAGGTTTGGAACACAGCCCCCTGCTCTGCTCATGTTGGTGAGCAAAAGAAAGCCCTTCTCCTTCACTCTGCCAAAAAGTGTTTCAGGACAGCCCTGCAGAGTGGGATCATGTCAGCCTTCAAGCTGGACAGTTAGCATGTACTCATGAGGGGAGGGGAGTGAAGCATTGTCTTAGATTTCCCAGGTAGAAACACAGACCTCATATCTTAAGTGCACTCATCAGTGAGCAGTAGAGAAGCGGGAATGGAGAGCAGGCAAAGCTTTGTGGGACAGCAGTGCTCCACAACACTTCAGCTCCTCCATGGATGCTCTCAAGAATTGAGGTCGTCACCTTTTAAATTTTGTACCTCCACTAAGCATAAAAGAAGGTTTAGACACAGTTCAACTTTGCAGTTCCTCTATCACTTGTTAGGCCACACCTAGTGTGCAGTGTCCAGTTCTGGTCCCCATAATTCAACAAAGATGCAGACAAGCTGAAGAATGTCCAATGGAAGCTCATGATTATGATCAAAGGGCTGTAGAACCTGTCCTATGAGGACAGATTGAAGGAATTATGTCTGTTCTCCCTGGAAAAGAGAATGCTCAGGGAGAACTCACTACAGTATTCTAGTGCCTAAAGGGAAGCTACAAAGACAGAGGCTCTCTCTTCATAAGGAACCTCATGGAGAAGACAAGGAGCAACAGGTACAGATTGCACTGGGAGAGGTTTCATCATGACATAGGAAATTTTTTTTCACTGAGATCAATCACTGGAACAACCTCCATGGATGAGTCCCTGTCACTGGAAGTTTTCAAGATCCAATTGCACATGGTGCTAGATGATCCCATCTAGGCTTCTTTTCCCTTTCTTCTGTGGTCTCTTCCAACCTGGGCTGTTCTATGGTTCTAGGAGTTTGATGAACAGAGAGTATCTAAGCAGGCTTTGCTCCTGGAGAAAATGAGTGTGGAAAAATAGCTCTCAACATATCTGGTCTTCTGTGTTTCTTGCCTTGAGAGTGTTACTCAGAGGTAAAAGTGGCATCTTCTTTAATTTGTCTTCATTGCTCCTACTGTTTAGAGAATCAGGTACTTGGGGACACTTTATTAATGGAAAAGTCTCTTTATTTTCAAGAACCCACAATCTGGACAGTATAGACAGAAAGTTAACTTGGAGTTTTCTGTAGGACATTTGAAGTCATGAAAACCCTATAAAAGTAAATTTTTTAAATTCCATATTTTGACTTTAAAGAGCTTCTCTGAGTAATTGCAGTCTTCTGGACTTCTGTAAATAAGTTTCATTGTGTTGCAAGCTATTGCAATATGTGGTCTTCTCAAGCCTGGATGATCTCTCATCACAGCACCAACAAAACAAAACATAAAAAAAAGGACTTGAGAGATGATTTTCCTGTGCCAGACACCATGTTCCTTCTACCAAAAGAGCTAACAACTTTCCTCTGGGATTTATATACAAGTTTACTTCCAATTTGAAATCTCTTCCTTGTGTTCATCTCCTAGCTTATGATTTATGCAAGACAGCATTGTGCTTTGGGACAAGGGAGGCACCAACAGTACATGTTCATCAGTAAAAACAGCTTGCCAGTATGGTTCCCTCTTCTTAGCTAGGACCCCCCACTTTGAGCCTCTCATGTCTCTTTCCAGGTATGTGTGTTGTAGTAGTCCAAGTGCTCCTCGGCAGGGTTATTCTGGCTTGTTTCTGAAAATGCTCTGCATCCTGCAGATCACTAGACATTGAAAGAAAACATCTCTATCTGAGATAACTTCTAGTTCTTTCAGTGGAAAATTAGTCATTTGGAGGAAACATGAAATCATGAGACAACACTGGCACACTGTTTCAGCTCCTTCCCTCTATATTATCCTGAGGAGTTTCAGAGAGACTAACTGGAGTTCAAAAACCCTGAGGCTGATGGAAGGTTAGGATGTTGTCTGGGTCCCTCTCTGATGTAGGTTAGCTGCCCTTCAGAATCTCCCTAAGCTGGGGCTTGTTGCTGACCAAATAAAAGCAAATTGGTCTCCAATTTATTATTAGCATGAGATCCCTTTTTTGGTCCAATGCTTCCTAGGATCTGAGTGTCTGTTTGTCAGCTTGCTTTTCACAAACTTATCGTAAGTCCACTGAAAGAGAGTAGTTGGTGAATTAGACAATGTCCTTGAAAGATAACAATAGGAGAAATGGCCAAGCCCAGAAAAGGCAGAAGGCACTTTGCCACGTTAACACAATCCAGATCCAGAGTGCCAGGAGAGCATGGGTTACCCAAGGAGGGGTAGGTACATGATTGGGGAGCTGACTGCTCCTCTCATCCTTGGGGATGGTGCCACCCAGCCTGTCTCTGGGCTGGGTACCCTCCCCTTGGGCTGCAGCAAGGGCTGTTCAGTGCTGACTGTCTACTCTGTCCCCTTGGAGATAAGTGTGTCACTGCTTCCCTTTAAAGATGAAGCAATGAATAAAGGCTTGTGTTAAAGCTCTGACCTGAGCTTGGGCACGTTTTTTCCTTCTTGGTGTGCTAGTTCCTCCATTCAGCATCACCCACTCCCTTGGCTTGGCTTCCTCTGGCTCTTGGGGGACCCAAACACACAGCTTCCAGAAGCCTTTCTTAGCTGGCAAGTTATAAGCTGTTTCAGGGACTCCTGCTAAAGTTGCTCCATTTTAATTGTGAGTGATGAAAGACTAACGAGGCCTGAAGGAAAGTACACATGGCAATGCACAACTGAACAGGGGCTGGGGCACTTACTGGGCAGAGCAGTTGCTTCTGCCAGCTAGTTCTGTATCAAATAACCATTGCGGGGACTGGAGTCCAGCTCTTTGCTCTCCCTATTCAGTGTTAAATCACCAAGCCTGAGTTGTCTGTCTGCTCTGCCCAGCCCTCTCAATGTTTAATTATGCCATCCAAGGCCCAACAGCTTCAAAAGGAGAGAATGAACTCATCCTCTTCACCCTCCCAAATAGCCTAGGGTCTGAGGTGTGTCTGTCCCTGAGGAATGGGGTGTGTGGGGCCTGAAACTTTGTGCGCTCAGAATTCAAACAAAACGAGGTTTCAACATGCTTGGCTGTGCTCTTGGTGCAAGGGGCAGAAGGGGGATGCCCCCTCATCCTGCTGGTTTGGACTCAAAACTGTCTCTTCCTAAAAGACAAGGTGTCATAAAATCTGGATATTTAGAAATCCCCCCAATACTCTCATGCTATCCCATTAGATTTTTAAGGGGTTTTCTTCAATAGAGAAGCATTGGCCTCATGGTAATGAAGACACTAAGATATCTGTTATTTTTACAGGGATAGCAAAAAATGATACATTCCTGAACCTGCCTAAAGCTTTCCTAAAATAACACTTTTACAGTCTGAGAGTGACATAGTCTCAGGATTTGATGTAGTGAGGTGCACATACTCTTTTGACACTCTTTGGGACTAGCTCACTTAGTTGTGACATCCCACCCTCATTCTGGAATAACATTAATACCATGCCACTCTGTATTTTTTATCTTGCAAACATGTGCAAAGCTTTCACTTAAGGTTAGAAAATGTTATAAAGAGTAATAGGGCTAGTTCCAAATTGGGTGGCATGATCTTTGCCTCAAGTTCATTTTTTTTGTTTTATTTTCATGTTAGACTACTTTATTCTATAAACAAATAAATAATTAAAGGGTCTTTGGCATTTCCTGAAATTATTTTCTTGCTCATTTTTAAAATCAGGTGGTTTTGTAGAGCTGGATGCTTTTGTGGTACTGGGTAAAGATTTAAGATTTGCTACAGGGGTAATATTGAGTGCCATTATGAACACTGGGGAAAAGCATGAAGTGTTGGTCAGTTCATAAATCTTAAACAGTCATTGCTGATATAGGGTCAAGATTTCTCAAGGATTTTTTCCCTTAAATGTCTGAATCTTTCCTTAGCCCTTAATTTACTTCTCAGGCTTACATGAGTTGTCAGAAAGGCAGGTGAGAGAAAAATTGGTGCCCATACTCTCCCGCTCCCTCACCCATTTGGGCTTGTGGGAGAGATGATTTTCAGGGGAATCTGAGAGCTCCCTTGTGCCCACCAAGGCTTGTAGGTTTTCTATCCCCTCCATGCACCATGGCCTTATAAACATGCCTTAAAGACAAGCAGGTGCCCTGCTCCCATTTTACAGATGGTTTAACAGGTGTTGGCAAGAATCATTAGAAACAGAGCTCTGGATTGTTTGCCCATAGTATAGCCCTAAAATTCCCCTTACTCATGGCCAGGTGGCCTTGTAGAACAGTCTTGTCATGCCCAGATATCTGGTCATGCTGCCTGAAACTGGGGGCCTCCACTGGGAAGCTGGGATCCATGCTCCCCTTGGCCACAGGAGAACCCCTGCTCCAAGGTACACCCCCAGCTCCAGTGTCAGCAGCTCTGCACTGCTGCCAGGAGGGTTTGCTCAGCCTCTCTGGGTCTGATACCAGTTATGCTGGTTAGCTGAGGTCTGCAACATTTCTAGGGTTCTGTTTAAAGAAACTAAAGTGAGAAAAATTTGTTTTAGAAGTTACTGGAGAGAGTGTTTTGTCACAAAGTTAAGTAGGGAATGACTAGGAAATACTTGATTCAAAGCTGTCGAGAAATAGTAATTGAGCTCACTTGTGCTGCTTGTTCCACTCATTTCCTTACCCCAGTCAGGGAACAGCATGGGCAACTAATAAGATGAAATTGATGAAGACTAATGAAGTTCTCTGGCTGAAGTTGCAACCCAGATGAAAAAGTCATAGCATTCAAATGTAATGTAGAATAATTAATACCTACAAGGATGAAATTCATATTGCACATATCATGTTTAGTCTGGTATCTCCCAAAGTTTTTATATTTGCACTGTCAGCCTGGAAGTTTTCCAATTTATTTGATTTTTGTGCATGCAGTCTGTACGTATGAAATGCTCCTATTTTCCCTGTTGGCTAATAGATTGGCTTATGATAGTGCTTTGCAATGTTACAGGCAAGGGAGGATGTGATCCACATGCTGAAGACAGAGAAAACCAAACCTGAAGTTTTAGAAGCTCATTATGGGTCTGCAGCTCCAGAGAACGTGCTCCGAGTGCTACACAGGGATGCCATCCTTGCCCAAGAAAAGTCTATAGGGGAAGATGTCTATGAAAAACCAATTTCAGAGGTAATAACTTCTTGATTTACAACATTATGTCTGTGCAGGGGGAATCCTAACCAGAACTGAGATTCCACATATTTTGGATGTGTGCAAAGCATACAAAAGGATAACACCGAGTTTGTATTATGACAAGAAATCAAAGAAAGTCTTGTTCACCCAAGTGCAGAATAAACTGTAAGCAAAGTCAGTGGATTTGAACAAAAACCATAAAGAGTTTATATGCTTCTTAGGGCTGGTGCTGTGAAGTGAGACCACAATTTTTGGGTGTTACATTTCTATTTTTTAAATTCATTTCAATTATAGGCTCCAGCCTCTACTGCTCAGACCACTGGTAAACACTCATTGATTTTCTTGGCATACTAGACTACTATCATGTGGGTAGTTAAGAAATAAAGACCTTCGGAGATTGACTTTGACCATGTTTATGGGATCATAAATCCATAATCACGTTACGTCACTTAAGTTGTAGGACAGCAAAGTCAGTTCAGCCCCTAAAGGAGACCTGTAGGACTCGACCCTTTGCTTTAAAATCTGAACAATAAGCGAATGTAGAATAGACCTGGGAATGTCTAAGGCCAGCACGAATGCTAAAATAAACAGCCACTGCTCATGTTTATAGTTCCATAATAGTCCAGGACATGGAGAAAGAACATGCGACAATGACAATATAACATACTGTAGTGCCTGTCCAAATTTTCAGAGTTCCTCCTACTAGAACATTTAATTTTTCACCAGGCATGGGATATCTTTGTCCTGTATATTCTCATACAGTAAATAAGGAAAGCAAATATTAGGATGTGGGAGCAGGCATGAAATACTGTCAAACAAGGTTAAAAGAGTTTAGCAGAGCCTTTTTCTAAAGGAGCTGATAATTTGACAGGGACCTCAGTGTAAAACTTTTGTCATGTGTGGGTTCACAAGGGTTATGTTTGAGCTAAAACAGAATGGTAGAAAAACTTCGTAAGTGCAAAATATCTAATCTCCAAGGCTGAACCCAGCCTGGCTCCTTTAGAAAATGCAATGGCTGTTTCACTTTGCTGTGGTCAGCTACCAGAGAGCAAATTGCCATGGTCCTCTTGCTCTGTTATTTCCTTCAGTTTGCTGAGCACCCTATGAAACAACTGCCTGGTGCAGCTGGAGCCAAGTAAGATACAATTCTTGCAGGGTAAGGGCTGGGGGAGAGCAGAGCAGGGCTGTGGGCTGCTTCGGTAGGGAGGAAGATGGAATTTGTAATCTGCTCCCAAGAAACAGCAAAAGGAGCAATGGGAATAGCCATGATGGTTTGAAGTGCCCTAGCAATATTTTAGACATATGTCCCTGGCCTCAGTGTTTGTTTGAATAATAACTGACATACTAAAGTAACAAAAAATAATAATGCAGAAGACAATAAAAGGTAGAGTGTTGCGAATAAAGAAAGGGAATTTCTGTCAAAAAAAAAGGCTGGGGGAAAACCTAAGGCATATAATGAATTGTATTCAGTAACACAAAACTGAATCTGTGCTGAATCTAAATCCTTTAAACTTTCTATCTCAGCACTCTTACAGGTGTGTTGAAATTTCAGCTACAGACTACACTGTATGCTCCACATATAGATGTCTAGTCTCCATACAGCTGTGAGCTCAGGCTCCCAGGGCCTGAGGTCTGAGCTACAACTTTTCCTGTGTGAAACAAAAGTGTGCACAGCACCTCACCACAGGGGAAATTCTGCACTGCAACAATATTACTTGTTACCTCAAAACTGCATGAAGTTCTGTCCATTGTGCATCTGAAAACTGTGCAAATGTTTATAGCTAGTATGTCATCCAACTACATCATTACTTTCACAGGACAGTTACTCTTACTTCTAGTCACTGCTTTATGTAAAGCCCAAGACATAAAATTATGGGACTCACATTTACCAAGCACAACACTGTTGGTTCATAAATCAGATGAAGCGAGCAAGGAGACCTTTAAAACAGTCTGTTCTCCTTTCCTACAATCCAGCTGGACAGACTTGAAGAAAAGCAGAAAGAGACGTATCGGCGCATGCTGGAACAGCTCCTGTTGGCAGAAAAGTGCCATCGTCGCACAGTTTATGAGCTGGAAAACGAGAAACATAAACATACAGATTACATGAACAAGAGCGATGACTTTACCAACCTCTTGGAACAGGAGAGGGAGAGGTGAGTACCTGAGACAGTGCAAAGACTGTCCCCTGTCCCAGTGATTGTCAGTTCAGCAGTGACATGGTCTGGTATTTTCTGTGTTTAAATGACACTAAGCTCATGTGTAAAACATTTGCAAATGTTGGTCCACTCACATTATTAGTAAGCACGTTACTGTGCAAGCCTAGAGCTGGACGAATACCACTGAATGTTCTGCAGTGTGCATTTGAATTAAGAAATGAATTTGTTTTGAATTAGTCATGCCAATTTTGGGTTCACCTCCAGGTAGCTTTTGATCAGATGTTATTTATGTTGGCTAAGTTTGGCTTGCTTAGCTAAGTGCTCCGTTTTGTGAAGGATGGGGCACTGTAGTCTCAGCAGGAGGACAGGGTAAGGAAAACCACAACACACATTAGAATACTGGTACACAAGTAGTGGGACTTTGCCATGCCCTTCACATTTAGGCTTGCAAAGTCGCAAATCATTTGCATTCTTGCTCAAATTTGTGAAGATGCATGCCTCAGGCAGGTTCTCTGTTCCCCTGGAAGAACATATTTTCATGCTTTACAGAACGTGCCCAGCCTGTGGTGGACTATCTGCAGTGTTTATCTCAGAGTCTCATACACCCCAGATTTTTTCCTTCAAGTGTTTATCCTGCGTGTGGGAGGAGTAATTTGCTCTCTGTGTCTCTAAGAAAACATTGATCACCTACCTTAGGTGAAGACTGAGCCCTCAGTAGCTGCCTCAGTTTTTCAATATGAAATTTCCATGCTCATACCAAAGTGCTTGAAATCAATCCACAATGTTGTGTTTCTTTTTCTTTTCTTTTTTTTTTTTTTTAAAAAAAAGAGCTCTGAGAAAAATACTTCAGGCAAGTTCAAAGAAGAAATGCTTTTGAGGAAACCACAGGCTTGTGGCAAACATTTGCAAAAAGCCAGGAGCAAAATTGTTTAGTGTGTTTCCTGAGCTCAGCTCAGCTCCAGCTTTGAGTAGGTGGCACATAAGCCATAAGTGACCATATTTCCTGGTTTAATAGCTGTTGTTTTTCTGTCTCTATTTTCCTGGGTTGACTGGCAAACTTGAAAGGACAAAAATGCTTCTGTGTCTTAGCAGGAAATAAAATATGTGTTTTATTTTCAAGTAAGGAGCAATTTCACATCTGATTCTCATAGAGGCCATTTTCTCTCTATGCTGAATATCTGTGCATGTGTGGACATGCAGCCAACTAAAATGCTACAAAACTGGCATTAAAATACCATTTACATTTGTCTCTACATTTGTCTGTACATTTTATATTCACATTAATTTGACAATTGTTGCCTACTTATTATTCTCTCTCAATTTGTGAAGGCCACTAAATAGTCTAAGATTACGACCTGGGTTGAACTGACATCCTTATGAGTTGATTGAAAAGCTTTTGTCTCACATTACTACTGCTGAGATATCAAGTCCAATCTCTGTGGGCATTTTCTCTTACACTTCCTGCTCTTTGTGTCTTTTAAATTTCAGGTTTTCTACATTCTACAATTTTCTGAAAAACAGCAATAAAAAGAAGGCAAATCTGAGTTTGAATTTATCTTGAATCTTTGAGAGCAACCAAATCCATTGGCTTTAGTCACCAGTGCCTCTGCACTGGTGGCTGCAGGGGAATAATTGCAGTGCTGAAGCCCTTTTGATTTATGCTGAGTAACACCAGAAACCTGATGTTTGCTGTTTAAACCACTTTGTTTGTCTAAGGCACTAATGAGAAAATTCATTTCAAGTTTAGTAGCGACCAGGCAGAGAGAACATGGCATGTAGCTAAACATAGAAAACCCTCTTCAGGGTTCTCCTCCCAGATCACTTACAGAGCAGATTAGCAAAATCAGCTGGACTGGAAACCACTCATTAGCGTGTAGTCTTAAACGATCTCAGCTTCTCCTCTTTGCTTGTTGAGTGCACATGAAACTGAGGCTGCACCCATGTCTTAATAAGTATTAAAAACTAGAAGCAATATTGTTTGAGGTCTATATTCACATAGAAAGAGAGGGTGATGGGATGACTTCTTAGGAAAGCTCCAAAGTGGCAATAGATTTTGTCAAAAAGAGAGTTTGAAGTAGAAAGATTAAGTTGCCCTAGGTTAAACCATACAAAAAACTCATACTTACTTAATCTGCATATTGGGACAGAGAACTGACCTGCCCAAAGGCATTTCTCAAGGTCCTGCATAGGCATTAAAATATAAGTACCATATATAATTCATTTTACTGTGGTGCTTTGAGGGTTATTTTATTAAGAGCTGAACAGACTTGTAGTCTCCATGAAAATGGAAAGGGACACGGAGGTGAACTTTGCCCGTCAGCCACTCTGCTGCACTCACAGTTATAATGTTAATGAGACAGGGTGAGCCAGAGGAAGAACAGTGCTGTGGGATGGCCAGCTCACAGCAGTCTGCTACAATGAGAGCAGTAATAATTTCTGTTCTGGATCTAAGTCATTTCAGTCATTTCTTTCCTCACAGTATTTTGTCAATCTTTCCTAACCATTGTTGTCCACATCAACTTTTGGAGGCCACATCTGCTTTTTTTGCTGTCTTGTGAAAGTTTGAACAAAACACAAAGGGGAATTCTTTAAGAGCAGAAATATGCCTTCTAATGTATGTCTAGCACTCTCCTAATGTATTTACTTTGGAATATTTTTACATGCACTTTCATATGTTATCTCTAATCCATCTACAACAACATGATATGAAAGCAAACAGTTCCTATGAGGGACTAATTATTAGGTCAGCCTTGCACGGGAAGGAAGTAACAGGAAAACATCGTTTGTCAAGAATAATTATGCATGAGAAGTGTAAAAATGGAGAAAATTGTACACTGGGATATTCAAAATGTAGACGGCTAGGAGGGTAAATGTTGAAAGCTGAAGGGCCTGACTGTTGGTGTTTGCTCTGCAAGACCAAGTGCAACTGACCTGAAGAAAGATTGTGGAAAAGGTTGGCATGCTACAGGAATAAAAGTGGTGACAACCATTTGGCAGATGGAGATGAGAGAAATCTGGTACTTTTAGTGGAAGGTGCTTCTACAGACATGGTGGCTGAAGCATTAGAGCATGCTGCAATAGTATCTAATGATGTTTGAAAGTTACAGACAGTATTTTCTATTTTTCTGTGACCAAATTCTCCCTTTCAATACTTGCCCCATCTCAGCTGCTGTTCCTGTAACATCAAACTGTCCTTGAGCACCTCCTATCCCTGGGAATTCCAAAGCATTCCTCCTCATCCTGAGGAGACTGAGGAAGATGGAGAAGAGCTGGAGGCCCCCAGGCCCCCTCAGAGACCTTGGGTGGCAGATGGCGGGGTAAAGAATCTCTGGTCTGAGAGGTGGAGAATGAGGAGTCTGGTCAGAACTGCACTGACAATGTGGCTTGCAGTGGACACCTGGAGAGCAGGAGACTAAGCAGCAGCAGCCACAGGGATAAAATTAGTCTTCCCAGTGCAGGAATTCCCATGATCTTCAGCCACGCTTTGGGGAGGGAGCTGGTGGTGTGAGTTTATGCCCTGGCTGATCTGGCTATGGCTAAACCAGCTATTGATGCTTCCCTACCACAAAAATTCTTGCGTAAGCCAGGCTTAACATGAAATGGCATTTGCTTGTTCTCTGTTCTGCTTAGTCCCAGCCCTCCTGCCTTCCCCTTTAGAGAACTGTGGGCACGGGAGAATCTTTAGGATCAGCTATAAACTTTTTAATTTGATCAGCAGGGCTTTTTCTTCTGGTGGAAAAAGGTAGAGCTCTGTGTAACCTCAGCACTGCTTTGACATCTCGATCAGCCTAGGAGATGAGGTTTAAAAAGCTGACATTTTTAGAGGTGCTAAGCTCTGAACAATTTGTCTTGTCCCCCTCTTTTAATCCCATTTGTTGACAGCACATTTCACTGCTATTAAAAGCACTGGAAAGCTCCCATTGATGTTAACGGTTCAGAAAGAGGCTCATGGTGAGGACCACTGAGCCAGTCCTGCCATCCAGGACAGATGGCAGAAATAGCCTGAAAGCCTTCGAAAATGGGGGGAGGAGAGAGTTTCTTTCATATGCACGGGACATGGGTGCCGAATAGAGGGCGTGATGTGGCAGAAAGGCTTTGTTGAAGCTCTGTTAAGGGAGATCCCTGCGACTGCTTTGTGAGTAATTTGATCATTTCCAGCCTGATCCCTGAGACTGCTGAGACTCTGTCACCCCACCACAAAACATGTCACTAAATATACACCCACTATCTAAATGTTGCCTGTCCTAAAGCATCAACATTATGTTTAGCCATGTTTTGCTGTAAGAATTCATTTGAAGTGATGAGGATTTTAAATTGGTTCTTGCTTTCCTCACTGCTTCAAATTATTCTTTACAACCACAGCAACAGTGTTCCCAGTGCACTGAAGCATTTCACGTTTTCCTCAAAGGCAAGGCCGAGGATTCAAGTCTGCACTTCCTAAGCACTTCCCTGCTAAATCTGTTTTTAGTTAAACCCTCTTTTTGAAGTACATGGTCATAATTAGATCTGCTTAGAGGAGACAGCAAGACTGTGACCCCAGATCTTTTCTCCACAAAGTTTCCTTTCAGTCTCCACGTAAAATTGTCTCCTCTTTGCTTCCCCCATCCCAGAACCCCCAGCAAGGAATGCACTGGCAAGTCCCTCGGAGGTCTATGATAATACATTCCTCTCAGCTTCGGTCATGCTGGCACCGAGATGCTCTTGGCTGCTCTGCTGGTGATGTAATTCTGGGCCCACATCACCTGCAAAGGAAACTGATCTGTGAGCCATAAAGCACACAGCCGTCTTGAAACCAAAATGGGAGTGTGGATGTTAACAAGGTTTTAAAAACCCTTTCCCCCTCTTTTTGCATTTCTGCTTTTATTGCAAAAGCTCCTCTTCTCCCTTTTCCCACGAGACGGCAGCATCAAGCCTTTCACTGGGAAGTGATTGCCTTTTTGTTTCCCTGCATTTTATGAATGCAAGCAAGTGTAAAGGCTGGAGTGTGATATAGCTTG